ATATATATATATATATATATATATTATTTTCAAAATTGAGCAGTATTTGAAACACATTGTATATGTTGTATCAATGTATCATATACTTTTAATAATAAAATAGAATCATATAAATGAGTCATATCTATTGGCTGAAAATAGTAAGTAAAAAAGTGTGTGGAAATTGAAGGATGTGTTGAGAATATTAAATACTATTTCTTCTAATTCTTTTAATAAGAACCAATTAACTAATTTATAATAGTTAAGATTAAATAAATTTAAGAAAATATCAAAAGTGAAGCAACCCTCACTTTTGTCAAAGGTAAAAGAAAGGAATCACATTCACATGAAACGTCACACAGGCTTTTTGTCGTAGAGAAACTCTATTGGGCCTACAAAAGCAAGCCCATAAGCCCAAGGCTTAAAGCAAAAGTTAAGACCCCAGTCTAAATAGAGAGGGCGTGGGAAAGAGTAAAGCGAAGTGAAGAAGGTCATCGAAGGATGGAATCTGAAGGCGAAGAGGAGGAGCAGAAACGCGTGCCGCTGAGGGAGAGACCGGAGTGGTCAGATGTTACTCCACTTCCGCAAAACGACGGCCCCAACCCCGTCGTTCCGATCCAGTACACGCAAGACTTCACCGAAGTCATGGACTACTTTCGCGCCGTTTACCACGCTGATGAACGCTCCCCTCGCGCCCTAGCTCTCACCGCGGAAGTTATCCAGTTCAACTCCGGCAATTACACTGTATGACTATCTAGCTACCTCTCTCTCGATATTACAACCTAAATCAATTCAAATCGCGCTTCAATTTTTCTCTGCTATAAATCTTCATTACTCACTCCTCACCAATATGTGTGGTATTATAATATTTGAAGTTAATGTTATTATCTTTTTTCGATTGAAGTGAGTTGTATGTGGTTTGTTTTGCAGGTGTGGCATTTCCGGCGGTTGTTACTTGAGTCGCTAAAAGTTGACTTGTGCAGTGAACTGGAGTTTGTGGAGCGTATGGCCGCTGGAAATTCCAAAAATTATCAGATGTGGTGAGATGCTCTGCTCTGCTCTTGGTTGTTTGACTTCTCGCGAACCTTATAAGGATTTTGTTATTAGTTAGGAATCAAATAAATATATGTTTGTCTTTTCATTTAAGTAAATTTGGTCGTAGACTTTGTTTTGATACACTTCTTTATGAATGAGAAGAAAATAAGAGGTAGAACTTGCTAAAATCAACTTAGGCATAGGTTGATTTTAGCACACTCGATAAGCACTATAGTTTTTGGATAAGTTAAGGTAAATAAGAATGCTATTAAAGTTAGGGGTGTAAGTTGATTGTAGTTCACACGAGAAGCACAATTCATTTTTACCTTCATATTTTCTTCTCTATCAAATGCTTATAAAGGAACAAAATGCTTATAAAGAAGTTTATTTAAAAAAGGGTTTACAATGTGAAAATTTATGAACTGTGGTGTCTCTGAAGCTGGTGCTTTGAAATTCTTCTTTGTCATGATGACAAGCCTTTTCAGTTGCACAAAAGCATTTTTACCATGATTCTTCTGTATGCTATGTTTGGTATTTGACAGTCGTTTCTTATGTAAATCGTCGTGAATTGAAGTGCTTATAAATACAACTTTTGTACACACACCATCATATTGATCTTCATGCCAGATGTTTTGTAGGCATCATAGACGATGGGTTGCTGAGAAGTTAGGACCTGAAGCTAGAAAGGTTGAGCTTGAGTTCACCAAAAAGATATTCTCAAATGACGCCAAACATTATCATGCATGGTCGCATAGACAGGTTTGTTTGTCATATTGTCACCACAAATCTAAATGCTCTCAATTTTAGTATTTGTATCTCTATCTGAGGCGTAGTTTAATAATTGAAACCCTTCTTTTGTTGCGTGGACAGTGGGTTCTTCAAGCACTTGGAGGATGGGAAGATGAGCTTAATTATTGCTCAGAACTTCTTGAAGAAGACATTTTTAATAATTCTGCTTGGAATCAGGTATGCAACTATGTTACCTGTTATGTTTAGTCTATACAGGACATCATAAATACTCATCATGGATTTGCTTGATTGTTGCCTAACTAATTGATGTGAGACGCCTTCTCTCACACGTCCCCCACCCTTAATCTTACATTTCCAATAATTACAATTGAGAAGTAACTATTTTCCTTGTATTTTGTTGAAGTTCCGTATCAACTTTAATTTTAGCTTATGAGAGTCGTTATTCTCTTATAGGCTCTTTACGAACTAAAGGTCTCTAATCGTAAATTGATTTGAGGTTCAATATCTTCAATATAATTTAGCCAGTAAGAATTCAGCGCAATACACAGGCATATTATAGAAATGGAAGAAATTAAATTAATGGATAAATGTTATTTCAATGATAATATCTAATAAACATGGTTTTTTTTTTTAAATTTCTAAATCTCTGAACTATTCTAATTAGTAAAAAGGTATTAGTGATGATTCAAAAACATATTGTTATATTTACTGTTAATTGAAGAAAATTTAGTGTTGATTAATAGAGTTATTGAAAGTGAAAATCTTCTTTATTTGAATAACTAATGACACATGTTACAGTAAATACGTGGTTTTATCTGAATAAAGATTTGCATGTAAGATGTAGCTTCGTAAGAAGAAAGAGTTACATATGATGTGGTTTCCTTAGAAGAAAGAGTTACATATGATGTGGTTTCCTTAGAAGAAAGAGTATGATTTAACTTCGTGAGAAACAAGAATGAGGTCTCAAATTGAATATATGGGTGTGAATCAACTAAGTTCTGCTATAAGAATTGTTAAAGGGGAAAGATGTGCCACATATTGTGCTTGACACCTTGTTGTCTTCTTACCCTACCTAATTAATTAACTAGTAAGTAAAATCCTTGAGTAATATGATATGCTCAGGGGTAAAGTTATTAATGTTCATGACAAATGTATTTTACTTTTAAAAAGTTTTCTTTTTTTTCTTAATTTAGAAAATTAACATTTAATAAGTTTTGCAGAGATATTTTGTCATAACAAGGTCTCCTTTCTTGGGGGGGCTAAAAGCTATGAGAGAGTCTGAAGTGCTTTATACCATTGAAGCCATTGTATCCCAGCCTGAAAATGAAAGCTCGTGGAGATATTTACGAGGACTTTATAAAGGTGAAATCACATCATGGGTAAATGATCCTCAAGTTTCTTCTGTGTGTTTAAAGATTTTAAGAACCAAAAGCAACTACATGTTTGCTCTTGGCACTGTTTTGGATCTCATATGCTATGGCTATCAACCAAATGAAGACATGAGAAATGCCATTGAGGCTGTAAATGCAGTAGATATGGATAAACACGGTTTAGAAGGTGACGGGAGAGGGGAAAATCAAAATTTAAATATAGCACGAAATATTTGTTCTATCCTAGAACACGTTGATCCAATTAGAACCAACTATTGGATTTGGCGCAAGAGTAGGCTTCCTCTTGCGGCCTAGTACCAAAGTTTTTATAGGACAACTATGTCGTGTGTACCAAAGCTCATTGAAGTTATGCCTGATTTTTTGCGATGTTGCCATGTTGTTTCTTTTGGTGCAGATTTATTTATTTTTGTCATGTCATTACTGTCATTGAGTGTATGGATTGAAAATCAAATATAGTTTAGTCTCTGCAAAATAAGAAATTTAATTCTTAAATAAAATGATAAATAATTTCTAAACTAGTTAACTTAAAATTTAATATACTCGTCTTATCATATATAATAATTTGGAATTTTAGAATAATGTAAAACATCTTTATACTTTTAGTGCATTCAACTTTAATTCTACTTCTTAAACCTCTTGCCATAAAAAACCGTACTTTAAAAATGTATTGAAAGGGCATTATATTTTTAATTTGTATCTTATATTTATATTGCCCAATTCTAAAATTATGAATCGATATAAATCTTACGCTCTACAACATATTACAAATAGTAATATCATTTATAGCATTTTTTTTTTTACTTTACTTTCCCCCCCTATTATGCAGTCACTATTGCAGATGTTTCATCTTATTTCATTTGTTTTGTTATTTTCCTTCTTTTATTCGTTTTTTTAGTGAATATAAGATTACTCCATCATGACAACACAGAACGGAGATTTTAATTATTACAAGACATAAAAACTATATAAATGAAACATGAAGTGAGCATTTCTAAACATTATAATAAACGATAACTATAAATGAAACATGAAGTGAGTATTTCTAAATATTAAGAATACCTTTTTTTTTAATTAAAAAAACTTTTGAAATCATCGTGATGATCCTAAGATACAGGGACAAGAGACATGCATCATTAAGGTAAGTTTGTTTGTGTGGAAAATAGATTTCAATATTTTCCTTCACCATATCCATTCTTACAAGATTGAAGGTTGATGACCTTTAAGTCTTTTCTATTACTTGCATAAGTTCTATTACATATATTAAATTGAAATACATATTAGAAAATACTATATATTAAGTTCTATTCTCTGTAAAAATATAGACTCTTACGGTAAAAACTTAGTTGAGAAAAATAAACTCTAAAATTAAATTTTAAAAAATTTAGAATTAATGTAGTAATAAAAAGAAATATTGAAAACCTGAAACAAAAACCAATCATATATTAAGGCTTAAGGTACAGTTTCATGAAAAGGGGCATTCCGAGAATTGAACTCGGGACCTCTCGCACCCTAAGCGAGAATCATACCACTAGACCAAATGCCCATTTGCTATTATATTTGACTATAGTATATAAGACTTTAGATAAATTTTTCTTATAGTTGTAAATTGATACCTTACCCTTTTTTTTTACAACATACCCATAAAAAGGTTATTAATTATAATTATATTTGGGTCTAAACAGCATAAATATATTTGGGTGGTGTTTGGTAAAGGTGATGGAGAAATGTGAAGTAAAATTAGTTATAAGATACAGGAAAGACTGTCTTTTTATAGCCTACTTATAATGGGAATTATGATTACAGTTTACGAAACAATGTCTCCATCCTCGTCTAAGTTAATCTCAAAAAAATCATCTAATAAATCAAGTGCATGAATAAAGCTATGTGAGATGTAATAAGTATTATTTTTAAAATGAAGATTTTGCAGTCTTCACATGATAGTGTTATTATATTATCTTATAATCAGAAGATCATCAGTTTAAACCTTTAAAGCAATATTTCAGCTTACAAACGTCGATCATATCTTATTAATTCTTGGTATTACATGTACATGCATGTGTTAGAAGGTGAGTATTTGATGTTCTTATCAACACTGAAATTACATGTTTTTCTTTCTCCTTTTCAAAGGAGTCAAATCCTTCCAAATGAACCTCAAAAAGTTTATCAGCTCCAGTAGACTAGATTAAGGCTTCTTGTTCAATGTAATTTTTTTGGACTTGGATGAAAAGCTTGAAGCCTCCTTGTATGCTGATGGACAGAAGCTACTCACACTACACTCTCCACAGTGAGGTCGTAGAGGAGTACAAATTGATCGTCCAAATCCTACCTGTTTGTATTCAAGTCAGAGAATGTTGTAATATAAAAATAGAAGGATAAACAAGCTCCAACATGCATTTTTATGATGCAGTAAAAACAGAATAGTGTGGCAACCAAAGTAACCATTCTGGGCATCTGTTGATAATGATATACAGTATAAAGAAATGACCTTTTTGTTTTATCAGCCAAAAGAAATGAGCTTAGCATACCAAAAGAGGATTTATTGGAACCCATTCTTCCTTCGGAAGCCATAGTTGCAGCCTTTGTCTGGTTTCTTCTGGTGTCAAAGTTTTCTAGCAAATAGAAGAGGATTAATAACTTCCAAATTGTGCCATAGAAGCAAGTAATTCTTATTTGCTGAACAGACTCATAATTGCAGCAACTTTCAGATGTCATGGTAAACAAGTGATATGGTGTGATAAATATCAGTGACATTCCCTTGTTCTAACATACATAAGATAGGTAAGCCTTGAAATTTTAGGAATTCTTTGCAAATGTTTACTTGACCGGCACATCTTAGGAATTCTCTGTGTCAGAAACTAGATGGCTAGATGCTGGGAGACAATGAAACCTTGCAGCAAAGTCCAATAATACTAGACAGTTGGCATAACACTCAGGCATCCAAGTTTGGAATAAGAAACAAACCAATTAAGATTTTGTAAGACCAGCGAAAAAAGTATCATAGTAAGTATAAATTTTTCAATATGAATGTCAATTTCAGAAAATCAGAGAAGAAGCAAAATATGTGATGCCAGCAAACTAGTATGAACCTGTTTTGAGCCTGATCTCGAAACCCACCCAAGACGATTGCAAATGCGGTGGACGTGAGTATCTACACATATCCCTTGGACATTGTTCCATCCACGAATCATAACCTGTACTGCCACTAACAAAGTGAATTTAAAGAGGAAAAAAAGCCACACTATTATCACTAATAGAATGAGCTTAAAAAAGTATAAATAATCATTTTTTGTCACTGTAGGTGACACTCATTTACGAATCAGTCATACTATGAAAAGAAAACGTAAGTTTTAGTTCTTTATAAGGACTAAGACTTATGTTATGTACAAGAACCAGTGATTATTTTAACAAAAAAATTAAAGGAAAATGCTGTTTAAAATAGAAAAGCATTTTGTACGTACCAGATGAGCAATCTTAGGACCTACTCCTGGCAGCAAGAGTAGTTCCTCAATTGAGCTAGGTATGTCTCCATCATACTTCATGAGGCAAATGTTAGCAACCTTCTTCAAGTAACTGGCTTTTCTTGTATAAAATCCAACCTTGGAAAAGAACACTATAGAATATAAGAATGGTTATTATGGAAATAATGGATGAGAATTTGGTTTCCTGAAGCTACCATAGATACTTTGGCGAAGGACATACAGGGTAAATCAACTTTTTGATGGTTTCTTCATCAGCTTTGTTCATTGCTTCTGCGGTAAGCAGGCCATTTTCATGAAGACATTGACTCGCTCCTATTCTTAAAAGTACACTTTTGTTAAAAATTTAAAGCAGTTTAAATAAGCAACTTGATTAACATGATTAATCACATTAAGAAGGCAGGTGACTAACATGATTAATCACATATAAAAACCTTAAAAGAATATATTTGTGAGTCTTCTTTTTTATATGATGATCAACTTTCTTATTTCTATTCAATTTCTAGAACTGACATCTAGATTCCTAACAAAAAAACAATATTAGTATATCTTTGTCCTCAGAATAAGTCTTAGTATACTGCAAGCTAACAACAAAAAGAGACTCCGTAAACTCTGGAAGGCATGAATGCTTACCACGAGAAACATGCCCCTTAGTTTGGCTTGATAAAAGGGAAGATGCAAGGACAGCAAATCTTCTTTCCTAGTTGTAATCATCAGAAATTGCGTAAGGGTAAATTTGTCAGTGACATCATGCTTCAAACAGTATGCTGAAATTAGAAGAAAATAATGCTCCAACAATCACAGTAGTTAATACAAAGTCTCTGGCAATCCAACCAATTCAGGATTCAAAACTTGTACTAATGAGTAATTCTAATAGGAGACAGAAAATAGGTTATAGATCAGTTCGATGCGAATAAGCAATGCATTTAATGGTTAATGGTTGACCCAAATTATATGATGGAATACCTATATCCTTCTTTCCCCCACTTTTCACTAATCTCTTTCCCATTCCCTTGATTTTTCATCATACAATATCAAAACAAAGTCATGATAAATTTATTCACTTTCATCTCATTCTATCCATCATTGCAATTATAAACATAGCATAACTGTTCAACAAATCAAGCGCATACATACAGACACTGTATTTTCTTTGCCCAGGCAATAATTTATAATTTATAATAAATTTATAAATTTATAATAACATTTCTAAAACACAAAAATAAAATACTGTTTCTTGTTGACTTTAAGTTTTACTCGAAAGATAAGGTTTGCATCCATGTGAATTGATCTTATCTTTAGACCAATTCTTAGCAAGATAAAATGCTAGACCTTAGGAAGAACAGTATTATCAGCAGTTTCCTCGTGTGCAACTGGTTCATGTTCATCTGCAGAACTCCTCATTTGGCGAATTCCTTGAAGAACCTTTTCCCAGTTGGCAGGGGCTTCACCTACATACATGAACTGCAAAATGTAAGCTTCCTGAACCAAGGACGCAGCCCAGACGCAAGAAAAACTCACCACTTTGAACCAATTCATTTGATCTTGCGCGTGCAAGTGCAAATCCAGGGATCCCCTGCATGTGGGTAAAATCCCATCACATGTCATCGGAATGAGACTTACTCTTCAAGATGCATCACACGTGAAAGCGTTTTCATAAATGGGACCAATTAAAAGATTCAAAATTTCTGATTGAAAATTGAAATTCCGGGGGTCAGAAAAGCCCAAAGGACAATGAAACTGAAAGTCTTACTTTCTGATGATTTTCAGTTTCAATTTCGGGAACGTGCTGAAGCTGCAAGCTTTTTCTGGTTGTTTTGGTGGTGACAGAGGCTCGAAGTTGAGACACTGAAGCAGGAAAGAAAGTAGTAAGTTTATTAGTGATGGAGATGCAAAAATGAAGAAGAGTTATTCTTACAAAACCTGGGTGAGGTTTTGATGAAAAAAATTGAGTGGTTTTGGCAGGAATGGAGACTTGGATTCGTCCCAACATTTCAGGAAAAATGTTGTCTTTAAGATGTTTGTGTCGGTGTGAAGAGAAAAGAGTACGTATTTTTCTTAGTTATAGGCGCCGTTAAAATTTGTCACATTGCTTTTCTAATCACTTAAAAAATATAAAGAAGTAAATTGAAATTCAATTAATATAATCTATGAAATATGAAATTTTGCTTATTCAACTATTCTCTCTTTCGACATTAAGTCTTTTATTATAATTTTGTATTTAAAAGATATTTTAAAAGTTTGTAGGAGAAAGGAGTAATCTTCGTTAGATTTTGTAAGAAGAAAATATATTTTATGATCTAAAGAAAATCATGATTCATCTTTAAAACTATTTCATACTCTCAAATGTTGACATATTATCATATATTTTTGCATCAAATGTGGTATCTGCTTTGAAACTCTATTTTGTTTTAAAAAAATGTTTCGGAAAATTAAAGAAAAAAATATAATTAAATTTTTTTTTTATTATTTCTAAACTATATAAAATTATTGGATATACACAAACAAACTCTCCAATCAAGATTTAAGAAGATTAAGGATTAAGAAGCTAAGTATTTCAATTTTGTTGGAAAATGAGAAAAATTAATGTTATGTAAATATGATATTATAGAAATTAATAAAAAAGATTTATTTTTATAATTTGAATATAAATTTTAATTTTTTTTGTATTTTTTATAATACTTAATTTTTTTTATTATTATTGTAAAAAAATGGATTTAACAAGTAACTAGGACTTTGTCCATTTGGAGCACTTTGCCGCCAACATTTCAAGAAAATAAGATAAAGTTTTATACTTGAGGGATTTCGTTTCAATGAAATATGTTATGAAGTACTTTTGTCAAAAGAGATATTTTTAAAAATAAAAAAATTACAAATATTTAGTGAGAGGTAGCATGACGAGAAAAAAAGGGCTACATTTTAAATAAAATTGGCGGGGGTTACGTTTCCATTGCAAAACTGCTATTAACATTTGATCATAGAAAAAGGCAGTATTAAAATAATTCTATAAAATCTTCCCACACACTGAAGACAAATTAAATGCATATATTCAGTAAGAGAATTAATAAGCGTATACTCTGTAGTTGTTTAAGGTTCTTTGATTAAAATCGCTTTTTTTTAATATTTTAATGTAAATTTTATTGATTACTTATTGTATATCTTTAATGATTACATTATCACATTCACATCTATAAAAGTTGTTCTTTCTTATTTTGATATATAATTATGTATTGTTGTATAAAATTTGATCCTTTTTAAATATATAATTTTAAAAAAATTGTATATGAAAAAATTAAGTTACTCTGTCAAGTTAACAATAAAAATTTAAAAAAAAAATATTTAATCAAAAAAAATATTTAAAAGAATAAAATTTAGTAAAACAATTTAAATTTCAAATATTCCAAAGTACAATATAAGTAGTAATTCTTTCAAAGTATAGAGATAACTAAAGTATTATCTCTTAAAATAAGTGCATAACATTTGATATTAATATCAAAGAGAGATATATCAATTGAGTAATTATCAACATGTATTAAATTTTTCTTTCCATCACATTATCACATTCACATCTATAAAAGTTGTTCTTTCACCCATACACAATAACAATGAAGCGTACGTGTTCCACGTGGAATAGTATACATATTTGATATGAATATATGCATGAAAAATTAAAAATAAAATATACGTATGGTAATACGCCCAGAGCTTGCTTTGACAGGAATTTGGTAGAGATAAAGCGTAGCAGCCGCACAGGAATTCATTCTTCACGTCTCATGATTCATTAGGAGCTTCTAGCATTTGGTCCACACTAGAGAACGAGAGAAAACGGTTTCAGCAAAACAAAAGTATCACCCTTTATTCACAAATGAAAAAACTAAAATAAATAAATATTAACAAATATTTGCTGGAAAATCCTACATTTGCTGGAAACAAACATTCACCTCTCCCAACAAAAGAAAGCATATTTCACGTACTTGGGGCATGAATGGTAGAAACCATCTAAAGAAACATTTTACCAGCATTGCAAAGAATGAAAAAATGGCATCTATTGCAGGTTAGTATCATTAGCATCCCGCAGCTCTCAAGAATTTATCATAGGGGCTCGAAGGAGGTAGCCTCAAAGAATGCTGCAGCCCATAGTCATGATAATGGTTGCGTGCTTGATCCTGTGCTTTAAATGTTTCCTGAGTTACTAACTGCAAATCACTTTTTGAATATTCCAGTGCCTGCACAATGAACAGTGCCAATAAATAATAATCATTTCCGGTCTTAGTCACAAACAAATATATGTTCATACTCAAAATATAACATTAAGTAGCTAGTTATAAATACTGGGTAATAAATTTCAAATAGAAATACAGAATTCAAGAAAATAAATTTATAGAGGATATATTATCACAGATGAGAATTCATTAACTTTAAGTTTATGGGAGCATTTCAATTTTCAAAAAAATAAAAATGGTTATAACTAGTTCAAAACCTACCTTATTACCCAACCATGGTAGTCAATACGACAAACTTCTAAAAAAATATAGATCCTGATTTTTTTTTCTTCAAAATATGTACGTAAAATTCGATGGCAAATATACGACAATTTTTTCTTCAATGAAAAATTAAACTTTTGCAAAAAATGCTAACCTTAGCATGCAGAGGGGCAACTGTAACTTCATTTTCACTCGAAAGAATTATGGCGTTACTTTCTTGTTGATGCTTGAAACTCTGAATGACGGACATCTTCTGTTGTTTCCCTGCTTCAAGTGCCTCGCACTGGTCCTTCATTTGGTCATAAGGTAGAGGAGTTGAGGGAGTGGAGAAACTTGCAACTTGCCGTGCAGTTTCCAAAACCTATACACAATGATGCCCACAGTATGTTTAAGGAAAGAAGAAATAAAATATCCTCTCTCCTCTACTATACAAACAAAAGCACACAAGTTTTTACCGAATCTAATAGTTGATTAACACTTAGAACATCAGGGTGGTTGGTTGACTGTGATGTTTTGCGATCTGACTGGCTTCCACTATGCTCAGGTCCAGTCTCTATCTCCGTCAAATCATCCGGAATCATCATCTGGAAAAACAATTACAACGTTTGACGCACAAGTTTGACAAGCCACTAATGTAGTTGCAACTTTGGAGAATTTTACCTCGTCAAAACTTGGGAGTTCAATCAGAGGAAGAGGAGAACATGGTCTTGATGTCTCCATAAATGACAGAGGTCCTAATGGATATGTATCATCGGGGGAAAATCCCTGTACAAGTTGATTCTTTATGCTAGACAGTTCATCCTGGTAAATATGGAAAACAATTCTAGTTATCTCCACATTTTTAGACACCAGTACAGAGCCACAAATTGAGCCCCCAACCTACATACTTTTATACAGTACTGCAACTTCGGCTAAACAGTCCACATTTTTTGCATGCTTCGCAAGTATTATTTCTAAATTAAAAAGTTATGTAGTTTGATAGTTTCCACATCCTTGCTACTCAGAAGTTCAATGGCTATACACCACATAGTATTTATCACTCTAGTAATTACTATGTTCATGTATCACACAATAAAAAACATTTAGCACTTACGGGCATTAGCTTCTACGAAGTTGCACAATCAAATAGCAGCCTAGGAAATAGTTTCCTCAACCAAGTATTTTTCAAGAGACTATAAATATGGGTGACATGCAGAACCTATGCAATATGTTACACTCTACCGAATAATAATAAAGCATTTCCTTTCTCTGAATTCTCTTTGAAATAGTGTGTTATATCTTCCTTTAAGTTCTCCCCCACTACATTCAACACAGTGAAGCAAATCAAAATACATGTCTCATCACTATTAACCTTCATTTTTCCCTACTCCTTATTGCATGTGGAGGGGTTGTAATACATATTAAAGAGTATCAATGCCACATTTCTTTAGAAAATCATTAACTGACTATTAATATAGGTAAAACCTACACTGTTAATTTCCCAAGCATATCGAAGTATTCTTCGTCAACCCAAGTAAATTCACATTACCTCAGACAATTTTGAAAATTTAGTCATAAAGTACGATATTACGGTCTCTTTCAACTGCTTGTCATCCAATTCTACAGCTGAAAGAGACTTCACAGCAGCCGCCTCATCTTCCTCAGATCCATAAGTTATCTTCTCCATTTCCTTACAGACAGCCAGCAGTCGGATATCATCAACCAATTCAAGAAAAGGATCTACCTGTGGATTTTGAACTTTAATCAGTCAATCTAATCATGAGTGAAAAGGGAAATTATATAGTGACACTCAATTTTAAAAGGAAGATGAAGGAAAGAAAAATGTGGATCAAGTCCAGAGGTAAGGTAAAGAAATTAACTGTTTCCTTGGTCAGAGAAGCTTTAACTATTGGAATTAGATCACGGAGACTGCCAGCCCTGGCAGAGAAGATAAGCATATATGAAGCCAACGTAAAAAGGGACCTCCTACGAGATGGTTGTAAGCCTCCTTTAACAAGCATGTAAGAAAATGTCAGAAAAGTTTCACCAGAGAAAATATTATTCTCAATTAAGACGATTTCCTATATATGTGTAGCAGAACATTTGCAGAACCCTGGAATTTGATTCCATTCTTGTCTCCATTCCATAGGAAAGAACATTTCGGTTTTGTATGAAAAAAGTCATGGATGATTATTCCACTTCTCAAGCCTTGACTCCATAGGGACAAGATTTCTCAGTGTCTCCAGAGTGAAAATTTGTCTGTAAATCTCACCTTGTTGGTCCAAAGAGACCCTCCTGAGGGAAAGTGCCAGTTGAAAGGATCTTGCTAAACCCATGTGACTGGATACCTGAGGAAAACAGTTAGAACTTCATGAACTTTAGGCAAATCAATCATGTAATATTACAAGGCTTAAAAGTGATTAAGATTAATTTTAACATATGTAATATGCACTATCTTTTCTTCATTTCTGACACGATAAAATTTCCTGTCAAAATACAACCACTGCCATCAAGTCAATTACCAATTTAAACAAGGTTATTGTTAACGACCATTGGAGTATAGTATAACTAATTGTAAATAGACCCTTTCTTTTGTGTTAAACTCTTGACA